AGAAATGCTGCTTAATAATAGGGATGAACCTACTGTGCCTATTCTGCAGTCCAAACTGAATGAAGAACTGTCAGAGGATGGAAACTACAGCCGTATTATGAGTCAAGTTGGACCCTGAGTGGTCAGGAGGAACGACCCAAACAGAGGGATTGACAGGGATGGGCATATGTATAAGAACTTCTTGGGTGCCAAACCACCAAGTCTTTCTGGAAGCCCAAAGCCAGTGTAAATTATGGACTGGATCTCCGAGATGAAAATGGTATTTGAAAGCTGCAACTGCAGTGATAAGCAAAAGACCGTCTTTGCAGTCAGACAACTAAAGACCGGAGTTTTAAGTTGGTGGAAGTTGTTGGCAGATACAATTCCACGAGGAGAAGCCATGCAGATGTCTTGGGAAGCATTCATGGAGCAGTTGAAAATGCAATACTACTCAGAGATAGATCTGATAGATCTAAACAACGAGTTTCAGAACATGAAGAAAGGGAAGATGAGTGTTGATGAGTATGCCACCGCATTCACTAAGAGGATGAAACTATTCCCCTACTTGGTGCCTACTAAACTCTCCAAGATAGATAGGTTTGCTAACGGATTGCCAACGGACTTTGGCCCAACGGTCAAAATGGCAACTACTTTGAAGACATCTGTTAGAGCAACCAAGAATGTTAAGATCCAGATAAGGGAAAAGGGTCTGAAGAGAGATGAAGTTGGCGAGAAGAGGAAGTTTGAGGGATCTTCAAGATCTGACAAGAAAAATAGGTTCCCGAAGTCTGACCCCAACAACAAGAGGTATGAGGATAGTAATAAAGAAAGGTAGTGTGACAAGTGTAGAAGGAAACACATTGGGAGATGCTCTAAAGAGGTGACATGCTTCAAATGCGGGAAAAATGGTCACTATGCCGACGAATGCACGGACAAGAGAGAAGTCTGCTTTAAGTGTGGCGAAAAAGGACACTTCAAGCAAGATTGCCCAAATAGGGAAGGAGCTACAAAGCCACACGTACCACCAAAGCCAAAGGCAAGAGCATACCAAATGATCCTTAATGAGGCAGGTGACAATGCAAGAGATCAGGAGTGATGATCTATATATATTCAAAGATCGGGATATGAAGTAGCCATATAGATAGTATCACCTGGTGTAGCCTATTATAAGAGGCCTAGTATAGGGTGAACTGCTTTGATAACATTATTATCATGTTTTTCTGGGAACAAATTCCGCAATACTACTTTTCAAAAGGGATACTCTGATTTTTAAATAAGCATAAATCAAAATTTTAAAATGACCGTGAATTTGAGGATGTAACATAATACTTCGACTTTTTACGTCCAAATGCAGATCCAAGGCCAAAATACCACTGGGAGTCATAAAGTTTCCAACTTTATGAATTTTCTTGCCATTAAGTGCTTAATACAAAAAATCCTGACTTCTTAACACCTTAAGACCTTCTAGAACATGCATGGGGAAGTACTAAGCATCAAGATCCCATTTTTATGACTCAAGACCCTTCATTGGGTCTGAAAGGACAACTTATTTGATCAAGAGCATGCCATGATCAAGAATCACAAAGGTTGGGACCAAAAATTCCCTAAATGGAGGAATATCTAGATCTACAAGAAAGGATGATCAAGCTAGGAGCTTTTTACCTCCTGGAGGTTTCTAGTATGTAGAGAATACTAGATACGAGCTTCTTCCAAGCTCTAATGTCCTTCTACCACCTTCTTCTTCTTCTTCAAGAATACCACCAAAACATACAAATAAGCTCAAAGTGCACTCTTCTCACTTAGGTTTAGTTAGAGGGATGATTTTTTAGATGGAGGTCGATGAGGGTGAAGGTATTGGGGCCATAAAGATGTTTAAATAGGGTCCACACACTAAATTTTAGGGTTTGAAACCCTCGCACGTACGCCCTGCGTACGCGATGTACGCCCAAAGTACAAGGCCCCTTGCATGTACACCTTGCGTACGAAGCGTACGCCCAACATACTAAGCCTTCGACCAAAATTACCAAAATGCCACTATGGGCCATTTTGCAATCCTCCTCATGCACAGGGGCCAAAATGCCATATTCTTCATATATAGGGTTAAAATCGAATTACCTCATCATCGGGATGTTACACCACCTAATTAAAAACATATAAAACTATCTTGGTACAAGTCCTTCATCATAAAATACAACAAAAGCAAGAGAGAGAGAGAGAGAGAGAGAGAGAGAGAGAACTTTGCCACAACATGTGAGCCTTCATTCAGTCCCGCCTCTCCTCATAACCGAGCCACCGATGGTTCTATCAGTCCAATTGCTTCATCCGCTAACGACTCCCTCCACCCTAAAGTGATTAAAATATGGATTCACTTTGGATCAATATATCCGACTTGTCTTTTATTCGATATGGATCATTGTGACTTCATCTTTTCCCTTTATTGAGATATAGATTCAAATACAGATCCAATGAAGTAATAAACTGGAATAAAGAGGAGATAGAATTAAAGGGCTTATAGCCTACGATATAAGGAGTTGACGCAAATGTGCCCCTAAGTCAATGGTTGAATGTTCAAGTCTCGTTGGAGACAAAAGGTATAGATTTAGGAGTATGATAGTAGGTGCGTGTGTGTTAGTTATTCGAAAAAAAAAGATGCGGTGACTATCACCACGTGGGAAATTTTGTGGTCGGGGTCAAATAAACCAAACAACGACTTGCTTTTTGGTTTTTAGTTATAATTTTACCTTTAACACGTCTTAGATCCATTGAGTATAAAATGAAAGAGTAAGCGATTTGGAAGAAGGTTGTGGCGTTATTGTTGGTGATTTTAGTGTCATGAATATTATAGTATAGTCAGGATTTTATTCGGGACAAGCTTAGTACTTTTTGGTTATATTTCGAGACAGCAGGTGTAGAGTGTACACCCAGATAACTAGATATAAGTGAAGATTCGGGAACAATGGGGTCCGGGAGCAACGCCTTTGGTGGGATTCCAAGAGGCATCGCCCCTAACGGGGTGTAGAGGCAGTGGCCCTAGCGGGTTCCAAGAGGCAGAGCCCTTGAAGGAGGTCCCAGTGCCCGGGTTAGCAGGAAAGGTCAAAGCTTCATTGTTAGATGTGCATCAGTGCCTCGACCCGAAAAATAATTCATATAGAGAAAATGGGCCATACCAAAATTTTCCTGCCAAAACATAAGGAACGTGCCTTATCCGAAGTGGATAAGTTCCACCCTTAAAAACTCTCATCATCTTGGTATATAATTAAGATGTTAGCATTGTAGAAGATAGATATAAGAAAAATAACGACTATTCCTCTTTCTAAACCTTTGTCTCTACAGAACACAAAAACAAAACAAAGTCTTATGTGTTGAAATCTCAGATTTTACCAGAAATTTGGAATTGTTGCTAAACATGCAATGACCCGTATGTAGATCTAGCTTATTGGTCTAGTGCTTCCGGGTGCTTGCCAGTTTTGAATGACTGAACTTAGCTTGCCATGTTCTTACAAGAAAGAATCTCTTCTCCGAATCGAATCTACGCATATCAAATTCAATAAAGACTTGAATAAACGCATTCCTTCAAATAGAGTTCATCCTGTTGATGGTCTTTACTACACTAAGGCTAGATCCGGACTATCCTAGCATATTCTTTTGAACGAAGGTGAGCATGAAGTAATCGCTAGATCCTCATAGTAGGCAACTTAGTTGTGATTATGAAGTCATGTGGGAAGCCTTATGCAATAGAGAAGTGAGCTAGTGCACTTAGACGTCTAGTTGATTTCATTAGGGATTTAAATTGCAGGAAGGTCAGGTAGTCCTTAGGCCGTTGAGCGAAACTCTTGACATCCTCCTCTTATGAGGGGATAGGAATGAAAGAATTATTATAAAACTACGAGCCCGCCCCCACTTAGAGCTCTCTTGCTACCTTATAATAGGTAATTAGATTATAGACATAAATTTCTTGGATTATTCCAAATCAAATATTATGATATTCCAAGGCGCAAGGGTTGAAAACATAGATTTTGAAAAAAGTATTTCATATACATGATCATTGAATTATCCAAATAATTCAATGATATTTTATACCCAAAAAGCCAAAATTCAAAGACAATTCGATCTCGTTTGAATCGAATTTTACTAAATTTGCTTAATCTAATATGCATGGTTTCACTCCCTTGTAAATCGTTATAAAAGTTGCCCTTTAAATAAGAATATATTACTCACTTGCTTAATCGAATTCAAAAACCCATACGTGCCAACATCATCAGCCATCCATCATACATGCATGATATATGATTGATGTTACAATAAACAATTGAGCATCATGCGTCACATACATGCCCTAAAAGTTATACATTAAATCTTTACAAATAATTTGAATGGTTGGTTTAGTGGCACTGGTAATCACTAATCATCTGTCGTCTAATGAAGCAAAATTATTTGGATTTAATTTTGTTGGATGAATTTTTAAATCGGCTAAAGATTTAATTAAAAAGCTAACAGAATATAAGAAAAAATATTACAAAATATTAAAAAACCATTTAACTTACTTTCTATGGTTACTACTAAATAACAAAAATAAGGATTAATACAAAATATTATAGGAAACAATTATATCATTTATCGGCTTCCTAGAGTATTAATTATATGGGGCTGAGTTTGCCCTGTAAAGGAGCTCGAACCCAGGGTGCTCGTTGAAATATGCGAGTAGGCTTCCGTTTAATCATTTGCCGTTTCCAAAAAATCAAAATTTTTAAAATCGATATTAATATTTCAAATTATATTCAAACATGGTCATCCATTCTACAAATGTCAAAATTTCCAGCTAAGACAAATCTTATCATATTCCGTACAAATTATTAATAAAATACTCTTATTATAAAAATATTTCACTATTTGTAAAGACTCGTATTTTGAAAGCATTATCTTTGAAATTAAAAAATATGAAAACTAATTTTCCATTTTCAAGAGAATAATATTAAATAACAAAGTACACATGTCCTATTTGATTTTTATTCTAAATACAAGTTATTATTCTTGAAGCTCGTGTATATATGGTGTGCTATGGATAGAGCTTGCGAAAGGAACCAACTCCCTGCAAATACCCTCCATTAATTGCTTCCAATTTCCAAAAATTATTAATTCCACCCTCAAATCTTTAATCAAAATGAGTGAGGTTAGTTTTCAAAATCCTTGCCTTTATTTTCTTTCTAGTGTACTTACATGCTTCCATTTTTATTACAGAAAGAAGCTAATGAGAAGAAGGTCGTTGATGAGAGTGGAAAGAAGAAAGTTGATGATGTTCCAATAACCATTGTTCTAAAGCTCGACTTGCATTGTGATGGGTGTGCCAAAAAGATCAAAAAATCCATTCGTCACTTAGAAGGTATAATCATGAATCAAACTGTATTTTTACACATGCATTTCGTTGACACAAAGAATCTATTGTATGTAGGTGTTGAAACTGTGAAAGCTGATTATATGAGCAACAAGTTAACAATAACTGGAAAAGTGAATCTTATGTATATTAAGGAACGGGTTGAATACAAGACCAAAAAGAAGGTGGAAATAATCTCTCCCAAACCCAAAAAGGATGAAGGAGATGAAAAGAAAGCTGATGATAAACAAGCATCCAACGACCAAAAACCCAAAGAGGTACAATTAATTGAGTACATAGTTTTTATTCTTTATTATTGAGTGGTATATGGAGGATTGATTTATATTTTAATGGTGGTTATCTAGGCTCAATCAACTACTGTGCTGTTGAAGATTCCACTACACTGCGATGGTTGCATACACAAAATTAAACGACTCATATCAAAGATTGATGGTTAGTACCAAAAATTCTCATTATAATATTGTTATCATTATTTAATGTTGAAAAGGTTTTTTTTTATTAATTTGAATAAGAGAGTTAATTGTCTTTTTAATTAACGACAAAATTGAGTATATTATTGCTTATATATGCATCTAAAATATTACATATTGTGTTGGGTTTGTAGGCTCCAAAATGCTTTTCTCTTAATAGTTTTTTTTAACAATATAATGGGTCTTATTAGTGGCAAATTAATAAAAGTTTTTCCGATGATGCATTAGGTAGTATTCTTGAATTATAGTTATTATTTTAATTTGATTCAAATAATAACAATAAAACTGGTCAATTTTGTTAAAGTACTTAATAGTTTTTCCTATTCTGGACAGGAGTAAAGTCGGTAAAAGTAGAAAATGACAAGAATTTGGTGATTGTGAAAGGAACAATGAATATGAAAGAACTTATACCATACTTAAAAGAAAAACTGAAAAGAAACGTCGACTTGGTCCCTCCACCTAAGAAAGAAGAAAGCAAGGGTACTGATGAGAAAAAAGATGAAAAGAAGGTCGAAGTCGAAGGAGGTGGTGATAAAAAAGAGAAAGAAGGTGGCAACGATGGTGATGATAAGAAGAAAACCGATGTGGGAAAACCGACAGACAATAGTACTGAAGGTGGCGAGAAGAAGAAAAACGACGATGAGGTGATCACAGCCAAAGCCCCAAGTGGTGGCAATGAAAAGAAAAAGTCAGCCGATGAGGCACAAACGGCCGTAGGTGGTGGTGGTGGTGGAGAGCAGAGCAAAAATGTAGAAGTGGCAAACAAATTTGAGTATTACAGAAATGATAATCCGTATGTATACACGATGCCTGTCTATAATCAGAGTTATCATAATCAAGATTATGGTGTTTCAGTCTCTTCGAGCATGCATGGTTATGCAAATGAAGGCTATGTCATGGAATACTTACGTGGGCCTCCGCTTCCTCCTTCACCCATGTCTCTCCACAATCCTCGTGCTTCAGAGACCGATATATTCAGTGTGGAGAATCCTAATGCTTGTTCAGTCATGTGATGCAGACATGATCAACGATGTATGCTAGGCAATAATAAGCATGTCATGCAGAAATGTATGTAGATCGATGAGTTGATAGTTATTGTAAATTATTATTAATAGTATAAATTAATAGAGAATTTTGTAATTGATATATAATGCTAATTCGCATGCTTTTTGTCTTATATGATAGAAACAAATGGGCATCTCATTATTAATTTAATTGCTTTACGTGAGAAGGATTGAAGTAAAACTCATATAATACTAAGACCATACTAAGACCATCACAACGTACTCTTGCAAAAAAAAAAAAAAAAAAAAAAAAAAAAAAAAAAAAAAAAAAAAATTATTGAGAAAAGCCACATGTGCACTTGTCTTTCAAAAATGAAAGCCTTTCAAACTTCAAAGGGAATGTGATCCAACAATTTCTTAGACTTCCTTTTTCTTGTTTAATTTTATTTCGATTCTCACTTCTATAAAAATGGACGTGTTCCCATTGTCAATTGGGAAAATGACTTACGAGACCATACCGAGGTGAACGTCTTATTCTTATGAGTGGCCTATGTGAATATGATCCACCTTTCCTCTCATGAGGATATGGTTAAGGCATGGACTAGGGAATCTCATATTATTGACAGCTCCTTGTTTATGTTATTTCGTTGGTCGCCTGATTTTCATCCTAGATATGAATCCTCTCTCTCCGCTGTTTGGATTTGGCTTCCCTACCTTCCCTTGCCATTTTTGAGTCATGCATACCTTAAAGGTCTTGTGGGAACCTTTGGACGATTCCTTCGTGCAGATGAGCGCACTCTTGCCTTGGCTCATCCCATGTTTGCTCGTGTATGTGTTGAGATGGATGTCTCTCAGCCTTTGCCTTCTAGGGTTTGGGTTGGTCCATCCAAAGAAGAATGAATTCTCCCTGTCGCGAAAAGAATATCGAGTGACTAGGGACTCCATACCTTACCAAAGTTAGCATTCACTTGCTTCGCCGCTTCGCGCCTCATCTGCACTTAAGGAGTCGGGGATGGCCCGACTGTCTGTCTTTCTCCATATCTTTACTATGAATAACCTCTTGTCCCTCTTCGTCTTGCCAAAGGGGGTGAAAATCGGGCCTACATGGCAAAGAGATTGGGCTATGATTTCGTCTTGTGTAGTTCACTTTCCATTGAGCAATAAGCCTCAGTTTGTCTTGTCCAGTCGTTTAGAGTCCTTTCACGCTATTCCTCGCGTGTCGAATATTTCCAGCAGGTGACAGAAAGAATAAGAATGCTAATTGAAGAGCTTAGGCGCGAAGGTAGTCTCATAATAGATAAAAGGGCTAAAAGGCGAACGAACTGAAGGCCCTGCGATAGACATCATGCTTAGGATTCTCTTTCAGCTGCTTTTTATTAACTTAGGGCGTTAGCTGGCAATAGCCATCGGTGCGAGGTCAAAGGCAGGGATAGGCGAGGATGCTAACTCGATTCGCCCTTGCCTCTACGGGATTACTACCTTATATAAAAAAATAGAAAGATTAAATTATTCTTAGCAGTTAAACAAGTGAATGGAATTTTTTCCCCCCTATTGGTTGACTGGGTTTCCCCAGTGTCATCATCGACCCGCTCCTGCACCATCTCATCCTTAGTGAATAAAAAAGGGTGCTTGTGCTTCTTAAGTAGCATTTACTTACCTTCTTCATCGAAGGCTTCCATTGATAGGGGACTGTTCTATCTAATGTGGCATTATCACGTGCAGCAAGTGTTTCTGCCTCATCCCCACCCCGATGGTTATAGTCGAGCAGAAATGACTTATCTATTTAGTAGCTGAACCAAAGAGAAAGTAAGCCCCGTCGCTCTCACTACAGCCTTTCACTTTAATCGGGCATATGCCCTCTTTCCTAATTCATCTACTGGTCTTATCTTACAAGCACCAGAATGAGAGAAGGAATTCCTGGCTTGACTTTCTCACATAAAAACTTCATTAGTATAGATATGTAGCCCGTTCTGGGTCTTTAACCAAAACTGGGACTAGGCATGGAAAAGCTCGATCAACGTCCTTCTCTCCCGAGGTTCAAAATGTGGAGGTACCTTTACCGTCACCTGCTAGCTCTGTCCGCCACGGGTTAGCGACATAAAGTGCGAATAAAGGTTCATCGGGACATTTTCTTCAACAACTGAAGCCCTTATTATCCCAGCCTCCAAAGGAAGTAAAGACTACAAGTCCCTATGGAAGTTCCTTGCCCACTTCTTGGCATCTGCCTTTATTATGTTTCATGTCCGCAAATCGTATTCATGTCCAACCCCCCTTCTCTGTTGGGAAATCGACTTCAGCTCCTGTACTTCTTTCTTTAGGGCCGTCTAAAAAGTCTTAAGTTCTTGAAATTCGGCTCCTTTTGAAGCGGAGAAAGGGTGAAAGCTAATAAGAACTTTTTTTCATAACTTACTTGGAAAATGAAACTTATGCCTTTCCTTAATCAGTTACTTGCCTCCTTTTGCTACTATTGATTCAATTCCAAAGATGGAGGAAGTGAAAACAGACTGAAAAGGATAGGAAGGAGACTCGACCTTTGGGAGATAAAATCCCTTTTTCTCAATGTCTTCTAGTTAGTAGTACCTACCGGATGAATTACTTCCCTTAATGGCCTACCTTCCTTGGCACATAGATTAGCATTATTCCCCTTACCTTAGATACGGAAAGCATGTCAGACTGTAGAGTGGGCTTCCTACAACCGGGGCCGAGTCACCTTCATGAGGGGCTACCTAGCTACCATGGAAGACAAACCTTCCCCCATTGTCCATTCGAAGGGCGCTGACTTTCATTATCAGGGTATTTTCGAGGGGTGAAAGGTGCATGTGGGGTTTTCGTACGCGGCTTAAAGCAAGCATTTCAGGCATTTCTTAATGAATAGTTAGATGGTCTCCGCCGTCTAGGATCTATAGATAGAGACCACGACGGGAGAAGAACATCATCAAGTTCCTTTTTTCCGGGATTTTGGCTACCTATAGGCGAAAGAATTCTACTTTTATCGGCTGACTATTCATAGGCGAACGAATTAGGCTTTTGAGAAGGACAAAACAGCAATCTCAGTGAAACGTGAGAGGCTCATTGCGTACGAGCTTCAATAGTGAGAGCTAAGCTAGGAACGGGGAAGGATGAGCAGAGAGGGAAGGACTTTCTAACTGAACTTGACTTACCCATAATAGGAACGACTTAAAGGGTTCAGGTTTCTGGTTGAATACCTATCCCTGCCTTCTAGCATTCATGCCTCATCTTTCAGATTGATCTAGCATTCCATACTGGATTTCTGATATCTCTATCTTTTTTATCCGAATTTCGTATCTATCTTTCTCATATTTGACTGATTTTGTATGCTCATGCCTAATCCTCTTGATTAGACTATCTATGCCTATCTTTCAATCGGGATTTGATATCCCTCTCTAACCTCTTCAAGGCATGGGAAACCTAAAAAAGCAAAGGAGAGGCTAGCGGGTGAGTAAAGAATGTGTAAAATGAGGTCATTGAATCTGCTGCAGGTGTCATCATAGAAGAAGAAGTTGTTCTTCTTTTTTCTGCATCAGCTACTAATCACACGTTTGGAATCGATCTAGCTGCTTAGCTTATCTTATGTGGTTTGGGCATACGGATTCGACTAGCATTCACGTGGGTAGCATTTGAATGCGGAATCACCCGAAAGCACGGGATTCGAATTGACATTCTTTCCGATGGTCCTATCTTATTAGAAATAAGTAAATAGTGGATCTTCGACTAGCATTTCGTGGAAATCATAGTTGGTAGTGGCTTTTTTGCTTTGACCAGGCCAAAGGCGAAAAAGAGAGAAAAAAGGCAATTTCTTCTCTTCTGTTGTCACAAGAAGGGACTAGGTTCTTAGCCAAGCCAGGGAATCTACGACCGATTGTCAAAAAATATCCCACTACGAGGTAATAAGCAAGGAATGAGTGCCACTTTCAAAAATTCTTTTTTAGTTAAATCACCCGCCGAAGCGAATCCTTCGAAATAGTCAAGCCAGTAAGTAGAAGGGTAAGGTGACCACAGGGAAAGGCATTACCAGAAGGAAAATAGTCCAACTCAATGTCTTACGCATCAGTGGCATTTGAGTGAAAGCAGTAAGTCAGTGGCCAAGAATCATCGATTTTTGAGTTACGAGCTCAAGGCAGCTCATGGGATTTTCTTTAAGTAAGAACGATCCCCAGTGTCATCCTCTTCGTCTTCTCTTTAGGAAAGCAAGTCCCATCGAGTGGAGTCAAGGCATGCCTTAAGGTAGCGACTGACTTTCAGGTGAGATGGTTCAATAGTAGATTAGATAAAGGCTCTTGCTACTTCCCACGAGGGGAGGAAAGTCAATAGCGTAGATAAGGAAGTGGCTATTCTTGTTTGTTCATGACTTCGCTGTGCTCCTCTTTCATGGAATAAGCGCCTTTTCATATACTATGAGTAAGGATGCGTAGTAGCGCAAAGAGAACTCTTTGGCCTTTAGATTAGAGGCGCTTCGTCGTCTTTGATTGGATGGAAACATCTATCTAAAGTGTGCAGTGAAGAAGAAGAGTAAATAGTAGGGGAAATAAGAAAATGGCACATTGACATTCATCTTCCTCTCGATGGGCTTTGAGAAAAGGGGCAACAGTGAAGATATCGAGACCGTGTCTATGGGGTCTTAGTAAGAATCTGTTGCAAGCAAATGCATGTAAGGGAGGAATGCCCGCATTAAGATTTAAAACTTGTCGTCTACTTGAAGGAAATGTTTGGAACAGGAAACTTACAATATTACAACGCCGCATTCTTCGAATATTGAGGAACAAGACGAGATCTATTAAGAGAATGATTTATTCTCGAAAAAATCTGAATAGTTACATCGAATTAAAAACTACACGAAAGTTCCCCTTGATTTGAATTTTATCTTTGTTATCAGTACCTTTTTTTTCATTACCTTTGGCGTTCCGGTTGCCTTTAGCGCCGGCGAGAGTTTTTTAGCCGTACCTTCCCATTCGGATTGGTTTACCTTTACCGAGGATATGATGGAAGACTCAGCGAGTTCCGGGCGTAGTAATAGTACCTCAACGGTAAATCAACCGCTTCTAGGGGAACAAGCTACGCCTCCCGCTCTTCCGGGAGCTCGGACTCCACCCTACACCCCCTACCCATATGGCCCGGAGGAAGTGATAGGAGGGGATTCGGTCCGCTCTATAGAGGGCCGCCTCCTGTCGGGCAAAACAGTGCCTTCGTCGCTAGATATATATCTAGCCCGGATCAACGCCGATGACCTATTCGAGGTCAAGGTGGATATCATCCGGGAGATGGCGGGCATGCAACCAAGTGGTGATTGGCTGGGGCGGGGGGCTCGAGCCCTCGATAATCCGAGGGGGAAGGAGTCCTTGGGGGAGTTCCTTCAAATGCGTAGAGACCTACAGTCTAGGAATTTTAAATCCGAGACCTTCGGCCTATTAAAGGAGAAGGTTTTCCTTAGGGATACACCCCCCTCAGAAGGCTCTTCCGCATAGTCCCGCGATCTACAAACGGATGCGTGGGACTATGCTTTCCTATCCGCGTGCAGCCTACCTGCGGGAGACCGTAACGTCAGTCACTAAGTACTCCATACGTGGGAAATGAAAGCAAAATTCATTCGGATCCTCCCACATGTTCAATCTTTTTTTAGCGGTTTCCCCAGAGATCTTTATCATTAATGCAACCTTCATTTTGCTCATTCATGGAGTTGTATTTAGTATGTCTAAGAAATTTGATTATCCACCGTTAGTGAGTAATGTGGGTTGGCTTGGATTACTTAGTGTTGCGGGCCTAGGAGGGCATCGCGCTTTGGGATGCAGAGGAGCTATTATCGCCCAGTTCCCTAACCTAATGCGGCACCGGGTTCGGACCGCAGGGAACTGTAGCATGGGGGGGGGGGGCTTAGAATCCTTTTGTCGCCGCAAGGCTGGATAATCATACGCAGCAGGCTCGAAGACCCTTGAATGTGCGACCGACACTAGGTAGGTACCTGTGCAGGTGAGGCGTCGGTCGGTCCTAGAAACGGCGGCAGCGGCGCGAGGATTTCACAACCGAACGTGCTGCAACCTAGGGATCACCAGGCAGCTCTTTTGCTCTCTAGGGATCGGGGGCATAGCATAATTCTTCTTGGAGGAGGATAGGTAATTGCCTAGACCCCCCTCATGAGTAAATCTATATTTCTTACAACTACATCCCCGAGCGGCAGTCAAACGGGGGCGTGAATGCGAGATGCCAGCGGAATGATCGGCCAGACAGAGGCTAGGGCTCCTTCCTTCCCACCACGTCCTTCCTTGTGTGTTGGAGAGATAAAGCGAGTGCACTGGAAAAGAACGGGAACTGGGTCGATCTATTCTATGTCGAAGCATCCGAAGCATAACTGCACACTCACACGATCTTTGCCGACAGATAGGAGCATTCGGTGGAACCGGTGAACTACACTTACTTCTGGATAGATGTGTGGGACAGAGGGCTTGTGGTACCTGCTGCCCACCCTTCCTCCTCTGCTTTGAGAACCTTGTGAACAGAGAGTGGGCAGAAGGGAAGGAGGTCCTCATACGGAGTCGCTTACTTACTTGAGCAGTGCGGGAGACTGGGGAATGGGTCGAGTAAAGTCCCCTGGGGTCGGAAAAATCACAGAGATGTACTGATACGATAGGGCTTTGATTGGTATTTCTTTTTTCTTAGTGATTGTAAAGGAGGGCGCTTGGCTATGTTATAGAAAGGGAAGGCAGAGGCACCGAATGGAGAAGAGAGGCGGCTCGGCAGGGAAGGAATGGGAAATCGTCAAAGATGACTTCTTTGTTGTCGAAACGAAGGGCTAAATAGCACCAGTGATTCTCTGAGCCGGTCTGGATTTCCAACGCCTCGGGAAACTGGTCGAGTAGATGACAACACCTTTTTCCCATCTTCCTTACCGGGAGGGCAATCTTCTCTTATGGTCTTCACCTCCCGCCCGGCCCGGAAATAGAGAATCCAGCCCCCTTCTAATCCATTCATTTCTGCAAGCAGGGAGGATCCAGAGCTAAGCCCCCTCCTATTCGAGGCCGGGTGGCCTTGCCCCACAAGCACCCAACCTTCTTTTTGCTCTTCCTTCGGGTTGCCTCCACGAACGCGCCACCTAGGAGCCCTAATCATATTCCAAAGGTGCTACTTCAATTCAAGCGCAAGCCCCCTTCTATTGCATAACCTAAAAAAGCTATAAACAAAGTACCAAAGTGGTTGCGGGAAGGAGACACTTTGGTTACCAGCGAACGCTTCCAAAGGCGACCAACTTTCAATACTAGTTGTTACCTTACGCTGCCATTTTTTTAAGATTATTGAATAGCATGGTTGGGGGCTAAGATAACTCAAATGGGAGAGCCGTGTTATGGGTGACCTTATTGCATGGTTCAGAGAGCACTTGTGTATGTGATGCAAGTGAACGTGTACGAAAAAGATGTCGTAAAGTTTCGTTCTTCATTCCGTCGTCGACCCTATCTATGTTTCTATGATGGCCCAAGAACACGCTCATTCTTCAGCCGTAGAGAGAATTTTGAATTGCGAGGTACCATTACGAGCTCAATATATACGAGTGTTATTCCGTGAAATAACTGGAATTTCAAATCATTCACTTGATTTAACTACTCATTCTATGGACGTGGGAGCATCAACTCCGTTCCTGTGGGCTTTTGAGGAACGGGAAAAATTGTTGGAATTCTATGAAAGAGTCTCGGGAGCCAGGATGCATGCCAGTGTCATACGACCAGGTGGAGTGGCACAAGATCTGCCTCTTGGCTTATGTCGAGATATTGATTCCTCCACACAACAATTTGCTTCTCGTATCGACGAAGGCATCAGCACACTATTCATCTAAATAAGTTATCTTTCGTCTTCCAATAGTTCTGACCCGAAAAGTGAGCCCCAAAAACTGTCAACCTATGACCAACTCAAAATTAGAGTAGCTGATAGAGTAGAAGGTGTGATTCTATATTCTATAGCCTATGCGACTGCTTCTGATGAGATAGAAGTAGGCTCCCGGTGCGTCTTCCTTTGGTCGGCTTGTCATCAAAGGATGTTAGCCAAATCAATAGAACTATAGGCTCGAAGGCTCGGGTTGGTCAAGCGAACTGATTCATTTAATTCTTCGCCTAGTCTTAGCACCCGCATAGTAGAGGGGAATAAGCATTCCATTTCCGACAAAACTAAGCGTCTTGCCGCTGGGTAAAGGCAATAGGAGGAGGTTTGGAACCCCAAAACAAGTCTAGGCTTAAGAACGGTGATGCTAGTTCAGTTGTTGAAAAAAATGTCCCGATGAACCTTGGGAGCATCCCGGGCAAGATCTATGGCTTTAGCTGCGGCTAAGCGAACTACCTATTATATATATTCTATAGAAGTGAATATGAGAGAAAAAGCTCTTCTTTCACATAGTGGGAGGCTAGCCTTCTCTCTTCCTAATTCTCCCAATGAGACCTCTTTCACTCACTTAGTGGACGACCCAGAGGACTATAATAAAGCCCCCTTTTGCCTCATCACGATCTCCCGGTGAAGTAGCGGCTCCCTCCTATTACTATTTCTGGGGTGGAGTCGAAGCTATGGCACCAGAAAGTCAAAGAGATTCCGTCCCGAACCACTCGTGTAGTCTTCTTCCTGCCTCCCAGTTAGGCCCTATCTCGCTTTCCAAGTCTCATTTGGATGAGGCGCCGACGCTACTAAATGCAACTCTCATTTCAACATTCTTCTCTGTTGACCCTTCCTTCTCTATCTGCCTAGAGAACCTCTCTTTCCCTACAAGGCACTAGAAGGTCGACCCCACTTTCCACACTATGTTGACTTTACTCCTGAGCCCAGTCATTCCCCGCCACTCTTTCACACAACATTGAGGGCTTCATCATAAGAAGCAACACTCTATTGTCCACTTCGATAGCTTTCAAGAGTCTCTTTCATACATCGTTCCGGGGTCTCCCCTCTTTCTGGCGGGCCTTCTTTCTTCTACTTCCTTGTGCTTCTGAGATCGCTAGCAATTTCCCATTGACTGATTCACCAAGCATTGGAGCAAGCGAGGAAGACCGCTTTTTCCATCATCCAAGTCCATCTCCGGCCCCCTTCTTCCTAAAGCCCCGCTCCAGCCTGTTCCTTTATCTGTCTTCTAGTCGGCTCCCCATTCATCTTCTGTCTCCCACGGATAGGTGCTTTTTGGGAACGTCTCTCTCTGCTGCTCCCTTTTTGAATGAATAAGGGGTAGGGCCTTCTTCACTTAGTCATCTCTGCCTACGACTTGTTTTCTTTCTTGACCCTGCTCGCCTAGCTGGCCCTATCTTGCACGTTTCACTAACCGCTATCACAATAGGAGAATCCTTACTCTCACTTGACAAAGAGTCAGATCGTCTATATAGACCTCAAGCTAAAAAAGACAAGAAAGCAATACGCGCCTAGTAAGGCTCGGAAAAGAGAAAGTCTGAAATCATTGTGTTCTCAAGGCCGAAGGCCAAGTCAAAGACAGAGACTGTGCCCCTTGGGCACCTCTGAAGAGGGTGTCTCCCTTCCACTAAGCCTTCCTACATATATTCAAATCAGTACAAAGGCAAGTATATATTCTATTTTGAGGGAAAAATAGAAGGAAAATATGGACTATGCCACATGGCCGCTACAAATAAAGGAAAAATCTTATGCGAGTGATACCAATCAGACACACTTGGAAAAAAGGAATCATCAGCTACTAATACAGCTGAATCAAAGGAAAAGAAGTGAAAAAACAGAAACAAGTCAATGTGAGAAAGCAAAAAAGGTAAGGAGGCGACCGAAGGAGGGAGAAAGGATAAAAGGGGTGGCAAGCAACTCGAAGGGATGTTGTGCCACCTAGGTACGCGTCTGGATCTGCCTCGGGCTTTGTCTTTGTTTCTATAGGATCTACTTCTCCAACCGTATCTACTTGTGGTGTACCTGGGTTGGTTTGGCATCGTCCATAATCCTTGCCGCTGATGGTTATGGGTAAATCACAGTAAAGCAGAAAGGAAAGCCTCCCGGAGAACGTTTTCATCGCCGAGAGAGAAGTCTCTAAAGCCGCTATGGTTTGGGCTCTCACTCACGTCGTCCGCCCCCATTACGCTGCTCACCCTATTAGGCCGCGGAAACCATGAGAATTCATTCATTTCAGCCAGTCCCGGGTTATATATTGTACGGCGAAACTCGCTAATAGATATTTGTTTTCTCAGGAACCATACCTGCATGCACGAAGAAGAACATATCTCTCTGCTCATATTCTTGTGGAACTTCTGTCGTCCCATTCATTGTGGTTCCTCGGCCCTGCTAGCCATTTGCTTGCTCGAATTGTACACATTCAAAGAGGGGGCAAGCTAAAAAAGCAAGCAAGCCATCCAATTTTATTTTATAGAGTCGGAGAAAGAACTTGGGGTTCCCCTATGACTAACTTAGCGCACTTCTGGTGGTAGCCATTGGGCTATAAAGAGCCACTCACTTATTTATTTATAGTTCAGTGTGAGATCAGCTAAATTAAGCTACACTCATCATTTATGATCCACGGATCACTCAATTAGAGCACTAACTACTTCAAAGGAATTCGCTTCAAAGAGGCATTTAATCGCTCCGCTGGTGCGATCTGGTCGATAGGTTGTCCAGTCATCTCGGTGAGCAATTTTGCTATGCCCTCCGCTGACCTTTCACTGTGAGTACTGCTGCAGTAAATCCAACGGGAAGATCAGTCCCATGGCTCAATCTAGGCTGCCAGCCAAGATGAAGATGGATTGAAGGGGTTGTCAGGGAGCTTCATAGGGAATTGTAGGATCCACAGCTGGAAAGACTGCAGGAAAAAAGGGGAACATAGTCGCTAGGAAATCAGATTCCATAGTCAAGGCTGAGACATACCCTATGTTTAATTCGCGATAGTCTTAGCTCGACATTGTCAAGCCATACTATCTACCAAAATTTATTTTTTTCTGACATTATATCCTTTATATCGGAGATATAAGGTTTGAACTTCCACTTATGGTAATCGAACTTGGTAATCAACTCTTTCCCGGCAAGAAGATAAAAGATTTCCTTCGGGCAAGTTCCGCTATAGTTGCGAAAGGAACGGACCACAAGCTTCGCGCTCTGCCTTTCTTGTATTTGGACTCTTTCGCGCTATATGCTGCTCTCTCTGCGCGATTAGCTTTCTTTGCTCTTTGCTACCGTGCTATTGCCGGCTTCCTCCTTTTTTTTAAGACTAAGACCAACGACTCTTACAGAGTGAACACGTCTTATTTCATTTTTAGAAAGATGATCTTTTTCATTCCCCAAGGGGAAAAGGTCTTTTCTTCTGCTTCAATTGATCCTGAAGCAGATCTTTTTTCGACTTCCTTCCTGTCTGGGATTTGAAAAAGCAAAGTCCTTACTTTGACTTACCCGAATCAAGTCAAGGCGATGAAGCAGGCTCAAGGCCTATTTTCTTATAAGAGTTCTCTCTCTCCCCGGGAATCATAGCCTAGTGTCGTACCGGGAATCCACTTCTGACCTGACCTTCTGACGAGAATCCTTCTAACTTCACTCTTTTTTTCAAGTAAAGAATGTGTAAACCGAGGCCATTGAATCTGCTGCAGATGTCATCATAGAAGAAGAAGCTGTTCTTCTTTTTTCTGCATCAGCTACTAATCACATGTTTGGAATCGATCTAGCTGCTTATCTTATCTTATGTGGTTTGGGCATACGGATTCGACTAGCATTCACGTGGGTAACATTTGAATGCAGAATCACCCGAAAGCACGGGATTCGACTTGACTTTCTTTCCGATGGTCCTATCTTATTAGAAATAAGTAAATAGTGGATCTTCTACTAGCATTTCGTGGAAATCATAGTTGGTAGTGGCTTCTTTGCTTTGAACAGGCCAAAGGCGAAAAAGAGAGAAAAAATGCAATTCCTTCTCTTCTGTTGTCACAAGAAGGGACTAGGTTCCTAGCCAAGCCAAGGAACCTACGACCGATTGTCAAAAAATATCCTACTACGGGGTAATAAGCAAGGAATGAGTGCCACTTTCAAAAATTCCTTTTTAGTTAAATCACCCGCCGAAGCGAATCCTTCGAAATAGCCAAGCCAGTAAGTAGAAGGGCAAGGTGACCACAGGGAAAGGCATTACCAGAAGGAAAGTAGTCCAACTGAATGTCTTACGCATCAGTGGCATTTGAGTGAAAGCAGTAAGTCAGTGGCCAAGAATCATCGATTTTTGAGTTACCAGCTCAAGGCAGCTCATGGGAATTTCTTTAAGTAAGAACGATCCCCAGTGTCATCCTCTTCGTCTTCTCTTTAGGAAAGTATGTCCCATCGAGTGGAGTCAAGGCATGCCTTAAGGTAGCGACTGACTTTCAGGTGAGATGGTTCAATAGTAGATTAGATAAAGGCTCTTGCTACTTCCCACGAGGGGAGGAAAGTCAATAGCGTAGATAAGGAAGTGACTATTCTTGTTTGTTCATGACTCCGATGCGCTCCTCTTTCATGGAATAAGCGGCTTTTCTCTTACAAACAAAAGAAATGGATTTTTCCGGCTAGCTCGAAGGGAAGGAAAGAGCGCTATAAGAGAAAGAGTGCCTCGAGAATAGGCTTTTGGTATTTTTACTGAAAGCAGAGGAAGAATTCGATGCATCATATAAAAAAAAGTGCAGCTGCGAGAGCCCCGTATTTACTAGCTGGAGTCCCACGATATTCTATGATCAAAGGCTTTGTGGTTGTCACGAACTGGATTCGAACCAGCACCTCTGGGAAAAAAATACAGGCCTAACGAACTACCATTCATTCGGATCGCGACTTGGTTACCCGGTTCCCCTATTGTGAGGGTACATCCGGGGCCAGCTGCATGGACCTACTTACCATGCTAGTTGACCAGCGGAAGCGCTCCCGAGCGAGAACGAGAAAGAGGAGATGCACCATCCTTGCTGTTACGTACGTTGACCTTGACTTGACAGATTCATCCAATTGAACCCAAACTCAAAGGAGGACCACAAGCTCGGGGCTCGATGAAAGAGAAAGTCTCGGCATTAAGAAAATAGGGTTAGCTGTGAAAGAGGCATTCATTTTTTCATGAATATTCATAGCTGAGCCTACTAAAAGAGGGACCAGATCATCGGAGTGATTAGAGGACACCTCTGATCATTCACCTCTAATGTGACACGTTCCCTCCCAGTTTGATCAACGGGATCAGTCGGCTAGAGAGCGGGGCTATTCTTCTTCCGAGGAGACAAAGTAGTCTCTTGTACTGACCGAACCCTCAGTTCGGAGGTCTTCGTCAACATGTTACGAAGCTCCAGTCTGGCGGTCAACTTGATGCGGGAGAGTCATGAGTGCAGTTCGATCTTGTGGTGTATTCCTTTGTAGTGAGTAGGGCCTCTTTCTCGTTAATCAGTTCGCCTCCGCTCTATTGAAAGGTCTCCATTCCTACGGCGGTTTTGTCAATGAATCCGTGGATAAGTAGGCCTTTCTTGCAGACCGATCTTCTGCCGAGTTCCTTCCTTCGTATTCAAATCTGATGATACGCTTTGGCGATGTTACCTACCAAAGAAAAGGCCTGCTAGGTGATCGAAATCGCTCAGGTCAGCGAGGACTCACTCACCTACTCCTTATCTAATACTTTCTTCTATCTACTGAATTAAAAAGGCGACCCGCCGCGCCGGGTTATAAGATAAGAGACAACTGTTGTACTACTTGACTGGTAAGAAAGAGCTTCCCTAAGAACTGGAAGACTCTTGTATGTACGGTAACCCTATCTTCCGCTACTGGAATTGGAACAGCACACGTTTAGAGTGAATCGGTTAAGAACCGCAGATGGCTGGGAATTCTCCCTGCTTTCACCTCAGCTCCCGGGGCTTAAGTTTGGCTCACGAGGAATGGAAATGAACATCTTCCATTTGATCTCGAAGTCCTCATATAGCACTTTTTCCAATCCTGGATGGGGGATCACTTGTAGGAATGACATAATGCTAATCCATGTTCCACACGGCCAAGGAAGCATCGGTTTTTAATCTCATTATGACTTGGTCGTTCAGAAGAGATTCTTTCTTGATCAGAATAGTGGAATGGAAGGCACTACAAGAAAGATATACTCCTTTTTAAATCGCCCCGCGAAGACAGACGTTCAGAAAGGTTCTCGAGATTCTCAATCGCTCTTTTCTTAGTAGGGAGGAATAGTACGGGAAGGGAGCGAGACCAAGCCGAGCCTCTAGTAGAGTAAGCCTTTCCCACGTGTAAAAATGAATTGCAGCCTCAGCCATAGAGATCAACCTGCGCCTTTGATGTTAGGCCCCGACGGAAAGTTTTCCGAAACCCAACTGAATGGAATTGTTACTTTCAAAAAATGCTTTCTGAAAAGAAAGAAGAGCAGGCTACTCATGGATTGAACATAAGACCTATGTAAGGGAGTCAGTCCTACTCATGGATTTTGTCAACAGGCCCCTATCCCGACGAAGAACAGCCCCTTTTCTTTTTGTTTAGCCTGTTCCTATCAGATAAATTCTTAAGAAAAGAGGAAAAAAGTCCTCCGTCATACGCGGCCGAGGGTACCTTCCTAGAGGTTCTTTTTTAATTTGAATCAGGTCTCCTCACTTATGTTTATGCTTATGATAATATATGCCGATCCTTAATCTCACAAATAGATTTCGACCCAATCTCCCATTTGTGAAGCAGATCATGAGTGTATTCCGCCTACATTTGTTAGGTTCTTTGATTCTGTAAGTTTGTCTTGTTTAGATTGCATTGCACGAGAGCGCCCTTTTTTACTTTATATAAAAAATATAGATTTACAATAAATAATAGGTAACCTTCATCAATAAACCTTGCATAAGAGATAGATCATGCTGACTTGAACTGAGCACGAATTTCATTTATAATTGAGCGTAAAAGCAACATATTGCTTTAAAGGTTTCCAACCTACTGGTTCAGCCAAGAACCAGAACCGAATGAAGGAAGCGAAGATCAGAGTCAAAATATGTCGTGGAGAAGAGCTTACTTATGAGCGGAAGACGAAGTCGCAGGGGCTGGATTGAATCCTTCTCAGGAAGAGCTGATGCTTGCTGGGTCTTTTTGTCTAGCAGCAATGGAAAAGCCTATAGTATAGGGATGGAATCACAAGAAAACCCAGTCTCTAACTGAAAATTCCCTCTCACTTCTATGTTGATCCTCATATTGCTTCATTCTAACTTGTGCCCTTGACTGTCCTTCGAAATCTATATGACAGTCGACTTCTCCCTGAGATGACTCTCTACCGAGGCAACATTGGAACTTTCAGGATGGGGCATAGGTATAAGTGTTGGAGCATAGCGATAGAGGGATTCAATTAAAATGGGGTCATTTTCATTGTGGTATGATAAGTAGTGTCGTACCACCACTCTGCTAAGGATAACCACTTATGTACCACTTCTGTGGCGCGAGTGGCCTTCTGTGATACTCATTAATCATTAATATGGGGTGAAATAACAGAATGATGTTAGAGCCCCCTTCAATAAGAGGTCCAACTATTTTTCATTCCTCAGAACAAATTATCAAGCTAGTGCTTCTGCCTTCCTTCGTGGACCTTCTTTGATTTCTGTGGCTTTACTGGTACGAGCCACGATCCCAAGTCTTGTTCGCATGCTTCCGGAACTTGTTCGTCAACACCAGGTCAACAGGTGGATCTTTCATCAGACATGGCTATGCTCACCATATTGCAGTATAATGGGCGATATCTCCTACGCTGTATTTGTGGATTCCCACCGAATTCCAAGTAGTCTTATCTTTCTGTGCAGCTTTCTTTATAGGGATCCTGCCGGCACGATACTCCGTTTCCAGCAAGTTCGTGAAGGTCCAACAATTTGAAAGGGGATGTTGTACGTACCGATGTTTTTGACAGTACTACTTAGGGTCCTCAGTACGACTTCGTTTGGCCTGTGTTCCAAATTCAATGTTCAGGCAGCTCAAAAGCCTTATTCTTCAACAGGAGATGGTCTAGTACTTCGGGGCAGTAACTCAAAGTGGTACCAGGTCAGTCCCTAACTATCTTCTTCCACTAAATACGCGGTAACGCTAACTCATGTGCTGAACACAGGGTCAGTCACGGACCTCTTAGGTTTTTTCAGAAAGAACAAAAAAATTATCGTTAAGGTCCCATAGATAGAACCTGATACGAAGTACTTAACATAAGACCTATATAAGGGAGGCAGTCCTACTCATAAAGGTGAAGGATGCGTAGTAAACTAGCAGACTGAAAAGGATAGGAAGGAGACTTGACCTTAGGGAGATAAAATCCCTCTAGTCGGGTGGGCACCGACCGGTCTTTCGACCAGATCCCCCTAAAAACTGTACGTGCGGGTCTCCCCGCATGCGGCTCACGCCATTCGAGGTGGCCCAGCCCAGCATTCATTCTAAAATCCTATAGTGAAATTGAGAGTGCTCGACTTCAGAAGCAAATTCGCGTGTAGGCAACGCTGTCTGTCGTACCGTTGACTCTGTCTATTCATTGAATTTGCTTGATTCCATTTTTTATATAGGCTCGCTCCCTCTTTTTCCAAGAATTCATGCACTTCCCTTTACTCCATAGGGCCTTCTTTAAGAGGTTCATAGTCCAAAGCCTTCCATTTCCGTCAAATGACCTGGCCTCCCCTGGCTCTTCCACCGTCCGGGCTCCCTTTCCTCCCTATGCTCCCCTGACGCAGGCCTACCATGCTTCGCTCCTGAGGCGTTTTCGCCAGACGGTCTTTGCCAGTAGTGCCATCCTCCCCCGCTGGCTGGATGGGCGGGTTGCCCCTCGCTGCTGCGTTCTGTTAGGCTATGGATTATAGGAACAAATGTAGTTAAATGGAACAGCAGGCGGGTTACACGTTCCACTGTGCCGAGATTTGAGGTGCAGGTGGTGATCATCACCCCGGGGTATGCGCTAGCGCCCTTGACAGGCACTCTAGAACCCGCCAACGCTCGTGAAAACCCGGGTCGGTCGGTCCTCCATTCATCCAACCGGAGGTGTGGATAACGAGGCCACCTTCACAACCTTCTCCCTTTTTTCCTTATGTTGTAGTAAGGTAGGGCGTTTCGCTTGAGTTGCTCGACCGCCCCTTAGCCCGGTGCTCATGACGCGCTACGGAACCTCCACCGTGCCGGGGGACCAAGCAGGGAATAGCTAGCGGCATAGGAGCCGACTCGGCATCAGCGGCTTCGTGCCGCACTAGAGTGATCCAATATGTGGTTCCGCACATTCCACCACTTCTCCGTTCATTTCCAATACTGATCGTGAAACACCATGAGCAGCAGGATGTCGAGGTCCGAAATTCGAAGTGAAAATTTTGATTTGCCCGTTCCTAGTCGTCATGGGAAAGAAAGGCAGAAAAAAGAAATAAATTATTCCCTTTTTTCTTGTCCAATACCACCAGTACCAGAAATGCATCTCCTTCGCCCGCGCGAGAGACTTCTATGCTAGCCGGGAATAACGGCTCTGTTATGAAATCAAGCGGCAGGCAGACTCATTTGGCCAGTATTCCCTAATGACTGGTTTTAGGAGATTAGGGTTCCCCTTATATTCTCTACCCATCTGTGGGGGGTTTCCGTATCCGTCTCCGCGGAGATCTCCGGATCGTAAGACATTATCGCCTTCGCGGCACTGGACTAGATTTCCGTCATTTACGGAAAGTGCACGGACAGCCGCCCTCCCCCCTTTTCACAATGTTCATGCAGTTGCTCACGAATTCAAGTTTGAATGTCCCTTCAAAGTCCCGCACGCTCTTTTTGATCGGGAGCGGGGTGGGCAACTTCAGTCGGTGTTGGCGCCTGCGGCAGCGCCTCTGGAGTCGCCCCCCGTTCTGGAGCCAGCGGGTTCTGAATGACCTCCCTCTCACGGTTAAAAAAGTGGTTAACCATCTCGAATAAAGCCATATCGTCCATACGAATTGTCTCCATTACAGCCAACTCCCCTGTCTCTTTCCCTATCGAAAAACTAGCCTGACTCTCCGTCACCATTTTTTCTAGAAATGCTAACCAAGTGACACACTGGGGCCATGGATCATGAAAGAGGTTGGCCCCCATCCTCCTTAACTATGTATGGCCAATGAACTCCTCGCTTTAGTCCGTTCGTTTTTTTCCTTATTTGGGCTCGGGGCGATAGTCGCCATGGTAGTAATGTCCCGGAGCCCGGCTACCAACCCGAGTCGCCGATCGGGAAAGTCATAAAGGGACGTTAAACACAATTCGTCAAACGCGTTACCACAAGAGGCTTGGCAATTCAAGTGAAAGTTTCTTAGACTAGTCCGAGCGGGGAAACTTACTTCCGAGAGAGCTGCTTTCACCTCGGGAATTCCCTAATGAGAACGAGAGAGAGCCGATGCAAAAGTAGCCCTTGACTTTATATAAAAAATAGGCTAGAGAACCTCTTCAGTGAAGATATGCTTATACGGCGAAGGGGGTCGGCTTAGAGTGAAAGCATACGAACATAGACTTTGTAGCCCTTGCTTTCACCTCGGAATCCCTAACGAGAACGAGAGAGAGCCTCGGCCGCCTATGACGGAGGACTTTTTTCCTTTTCTCTGAAGAATTTATCTGATAGGAACAGGCTAAACAAAAAGAAAAGGGGCTGTTTTTCGTCGGAATAGGGGCCTGTTGACACAATCCATGAGTAGGACTGACTCCCTTACACAGGGCCATTTACTATTCCATGCGATCTTTACACCGACACCCCCATCTATCCAAGCCTGGTAAATCAGCTGAAAGAAGAGAGAGCCCCCTTCCCGTTGTTGTCTCTAACTAAACCACCACCAGTACACTCTTCCACTACAGATGCTGAAAACCCGATTCCTTCCCATGCTTTTCTCTTCTCCCTGACTTGCTAGTACTCAACCTAGAGATGAAAGAAGTAAGAGCCCCCTCTTGTCGCAAAATAGTAAATTAGGTTCAGTTGGAAAAACAGCTATAAATGACCACTACGAACAAAGGATGCAAGTCCTCTCAACAAACTCCATATCTGTAGAAAAAATGCCACTATTCTCAATTCAATATAGTAAGGCGTTTCTAATCTTCCTCGCAGCAAGACTTCTGAAAGCCAGTTGCTAAAAAAAGATTAGAACAAGAGGGCTCTGGCGATTTCGGAACTAGCTTAACTCATTCCACCCGGGGTGAACGAGAACTAGTTCATCACCAACATGCTTAACTCCTAGGACTTTTGGGATTTAATACTCTTACTCTTTTTGACCAAAAGATGGTGAAGATTGGAGCTAGATAGAAGTAGTTTTTAATGAGGAGAGGGAAATCTGGCCATTAGTTAAGTTATTTTTTGTTTGG